GCCCTAGGTTCGATTCCTCAGCACCACATAAGCAAAAAGAAAAAAAGCCGAAGTGGCGCTGTGGCTCAAGTGGTAGAGCGCTAGCCTTGAGCTGAAGAGCTGAGGAACAGTGCCCAAGCCCCAGAGTTCAGGCCCCATGACCGGACGCAAAAAATGAAATATAATAAAATAATAAAATAAAATGTATTTCATTACTTTTTAAAAGGGCTTTATAAAAGGATATTTTTTTAAAAGGGGGGGGGGCTAGAGGCATGGTTCATCCATGAGCAAAAAGACTAAGCAACAAACTAGGTCTTCCTTAAATTGCAGGGAGATGAGGCCTCAGGTGTTTGTACAAGAACAGTTTCTCAGATTTTAAAATACAATAAAATCAAGCATAACAACAACACAAAAGTCCAAAAGAGATTCTATATTAAACATAATAATAATAACAATAACGAAGTAAAAACCTGAGACCCTAAGTTTAAGCCCCAATACCAGTGCAAAAAAAACAAAACAACCTTGAGGCTGGGGATGGTAGATCACATGTATAATCTCAGCTACTCAGGAGGCAGAGATCTGAAGGATCACAGTTTGAGGTCACCCCAGGCAATAATGGTAACATATTCCCTTCCTCAAGGAGTAGCAAACACATTTTTAAATCACAGCTTCTCAGAAGGTCTTAAGTAAGAGGACCATGGCCCAAGGCCAGCCTTGGGCAAAAGTAGATTCCATACAGAAAAAAAGCTGACAGATCCTGGTGTATCACACCTGTAAATCCTAGCTACTTAAAAGGTTGAGACTTCAATGATCAAAGGGCAGAAAAATCTTTGAGATTCTATCTCCAACTAGCCAGTTAAACTAGGGGTATAGCTCAAGTGGTATAATACAAGCTGTGAGCAAGAAAGCTGAGAATGAGAGGCCTTGACTTCAAGTCCCCATACCAGCACTAAATAATAAACACATATATAAGCCGGGTGCTGGTGGGTGACTCCTGTAATCCTAACTACTCAGGAGGCTGAGATCTGAGGATTGCGGTTCAAAGCCAGCACGGGCAAGAAAGTCCGTGAGCCTCTTATCTCCAATTAACCACCAGAAAACTGGAAGTGTTGCTGAAGAGCTGAGGGACAGTGCCCAGGCCCAGAGTTCAAGCCCCACGACCAACAATAAATAACTAAATAAACACATATATATTCATAAACAAACAAACCACAACATGACTGGGAACCCAGCTCAAGTAGAAAAGTACCTACCTAGCAAGCAAAAGGTGCTTAGTTCAAGCCCCAACATCATAAAAAAGAAGGTCAGGCGCCATGGCTCACACCTGTAATTCTAGCTACTCAGGAGGCTGAGATCTGAGGGTCTCAGTTCAAAGCCAGCCTGGGCAGGAAACTCCATGAGACTCTTACCTCCAATTAAGCACTAGAAAATGGAAAGTGGCTCTGTGGCTCAAGTGGTAGAGCACTTGCCTTGAGCTAAAGAGCGCAGGGACAGCGCCTAAGCCCAGAGTTCAAGCCCCATGACCGACAAAAATAAAAATAAAGTAAAAAAATCTTGACAACTTGTCACACTGTCTGAACTTCTCATTTTTTTTTTTGAGGGGTCTGGTCCTGGGGCCTAAACTCTGGGCCTGGGCACTGTCCCTCAGCTCTTCAGCTCAAGGCTAGTGATCTACCACTTGAGCCACAGCACCACTTCCGGCTTTTTCTTTTTTGCTTATGGGGTGCTGAGGAATCGAACCCAGGGCCTCATGCGTGCAAGGCAAGCACTCTACCACTGAGCCACCTTCCCAGGCCGTGAATTTCTATTTTCTCATGTCTAAAGGTATTGGGTTAGAATTTTGTTAATTATGTTCTTAAAACTGTGGGCTGGTAAGGTGGCTCAGTGGTAGAGTGCGTGCCTTGCATGCATGAGGCGCTGCGTTCGATTCCTCAGCACCACATAAAGCAGAAAAAGCCAGAAGCGGTGCTGTGGCTCTAATGGTAGAGCACTAGCTTTGAGCTGAAGAGCTGAGGGACATCCAGGCCCAGAGTTCAGCTCCACAACCGGGAAAAACAAAAACAAAACAAAAAACTGTAATTTATATAATTGACAATTACATTTAAGAAGTTTTTTTCTGAATATCAGCTTTAATCTAAATGTCAGAAATCTAGTGTTCCTTCCTTTGCCTTCTACATTTTCCACCTACATTATTGTCATAACACAGGAAGAGTTTTCTGCTAATAAGAAAAAAGAATTAAAGGAAAAGGCTGGGAATGTAGCTTAGTGGTAGAGTACTTCCCTACCATGCATGAAGCCCTGGGTTTGATTCCTCAGTACCATATAAACAGAAAAAGCCAGAAGTGGCAATGTGACTCAAGTAGTAGAGTACTAGCCTTGAGCAAAAGAAGTTCAGGGAATGAGGGAATAACAAGTTCAACAAGAAATGTACTCACAACCTTACTTATGTAATTGTAACCCCTCTGTACATCATCTTGACAATAAAATTAAAAATGAAGAAAAAAAAAAAAGCAGCAGCAGCTCAGGGGCTGGGAATGTGGCTCAGTGGAAGAATGCTTGCCTCACATGCATGAAGCCCTAGGTTCAACTCCTCAGTAACACATAAACAGAAAAACACAAGTGGCACTGTGGCTCAAGTGGTAGTGTTAGCCTTTAGCACAACAAGGCTCAGAGACAGTGCCCAGGTCCTGAGTTCAAGCCACCAGGACCGGAAAAAAGAAAAGAAAGAGAAAGAAAGAAAGAAAAAGAAAGCAAGAAATCTATAAATTGGAGAAGCAAACAAGCAGCCAAAGTGCAGAAAACAAAATCAAATGTTTCATTAGTAAAGATTCTGCCCCTTATTTTAAAAAATGATAGTTTCTGCTTAGAGATTAAAGGTAAGGCTGGGAGTGTGGCTTAGTGGTAGATTGCTTACCTAGTGTGCATGAAGCCCTGGGTTCCGAAATTCCTAGTACCATATTAACAGAAAAGGCTGGAAGTGGCACTGTGGCTTAAGTGGCAGAGGGCTAGCCTTGAGCAAAAGAAGCTCAAAAGATAGTGTCCAGACCTTGAGTTCAAGCCCCCAGGCTGGCACAGTAAATAAATAAAATAAAATAAAAATAAGAGATTTGAATAATGAAATGTATTTAAGAGAATGTCATTCTCATGAATGTAATTTAAAAACAAAATAAAGCAACCCCACCCACACAGCTGGAAAAAAGCTTCTGACAACCAATTAAAACTTGTTTACCCAGGCCACTTCTTAATAAGAGAGCAATTTCACTAGGGTTATATAAGGATTTTGCAATATGTGATCAGTTTAAATTTATTTACTCTCTAGTTCTCAGATCAGTTATTTTACTACAAGGTCAGGTTTTTCCTAACAGCATTTCTCTAGTTGGGTAGCTTTATTCCATCATTCAGTGCTTCCTCCAAGGAATTTTTAGTCATTAATTATATCTCTATTTCCCTTAAGAGAGATAACAATTATAAAATTGTTTTAAGCAATTAAAAAAACCTTACATTGACTTGTGACAAATTAACCACTTCTTAAAATACCACTATTCCCAGAAACATAATGGAAAGACAATAAATTTCACAGTGATTCAGCTATACTACCAAAACCTGTATATTACAATACTGCCTTGGGCTGGGAATATGGCTTAGTGGTAGAATGCTTGCCTAGCAAGCATGAAGCCCTTGGTTCAATTCCTCAGTACCACATACATAGAAAAAGCCAGAAGTGGCACTGTGGCTCAACCAAAAACAAAAACAAAAAACACAATATTGCCTTTCACAAATAAGAAAATCAAGTATGAATTCCCCCACCAAAAAAAAAATGTAGGAACAGCAGGGAGTCTTCCTCTCC